GGGCAAATCAGGAAAGAGAAATCGCTCTCACAGCAGAGATAATACAAAGGAGATGCTGAAGAGAATTAATACACTAGAAGAACCACTCGAAAAAACCGAGCGTTTTGCCAGAGAGAGGTCAGGATCACGGCAATCGGTTGCTTCGATCTATTCGAACGGACGGCGACAGCGAACTCGCTCAAGGTCTCGTTCTATTTTTAGATCAGAGAGTCGCCGGTTCCGGCGCCCGGAAAGTAGATACGATAGCAACGACGGTCGGCGGCGTTGGAACTCTTGTTCTAGCGAGGATCCCACGGAACCGAAAAAACGCAATGAAGCAGATCTCGACCTGCGCGGCGAGGATGCAACATCAATATTGAATAGGCGGCCTAGTGTAGATCGTTCTCTGCGCGGGGCGACGAACACTTTGGATCGTGATGCCCGTAACCCGCGAGGTTCGGTTTCACGAGAGGCAGGCACACCACCTAGGCGCTCTTTGAGTCCGGAAAATGCACCCGATGAACTTATTATTCATAATACTGTCAGTCTGGATGAAGAACTGGAAAAATTTTTAGGGGATGATCCTGACTGCAATCACCGAAAAGGTGAAAAATCTTCCTGAATCTCTGGCAAAGCGATGGAATCACACAGTTAGGAATGGTCTGGATAAAGAGACAATAAATCATACTTTAGAACATTATAAAGTACCAGACAATTGCCCAGGCTTGTTAGCACCCACGGTCAATCCAGAGGTGGCAACAATCCTAACTACGGCATACACAACTCGTGATAATTTCCATAAAGAAATCCAGGATCAGATTGGAAAAGGTTTGACGGCCCTAAGCAGGGGTGTGGCTGTTATTCTGGAAAATTCAGAGAATACCCAAAAGCCGTAAAGGAGCAGTTGCTATTGCCCCTTTGTGACTCGGGTAAGATATTTTCGAATACCTTCCACAAACTGTCAACAACCCGACGTCACCTGATTCTTCCATTGCTCAACAAAAATGTCAAAGACATAGTGGAAAAATCTTTTCCATCCGAATTGCTTTTTGGATCTGACTTATCGGAACAAATCAAGGAAGCTAAATCGAGGGAAAATACAGGTAGGGAGTTGAAACTGGTCTCACAAAGTCGACCCCTACAACAAGCGAGACCGCTCAGAGGCCAACCCTCCAGAGACAACTTCAAGGAGATCCATAGGAAGAGAAGATAGACGAGGTGAGTCATTTTACAGGGAGACTGAAATATTATCATGAAAAATGGGTATCGGTAACATCTAACTCCGTGGATTCAGGGATACAAATTGCCTCTAAGTACCATTCCAAACCAAGTCTTTGTACCTCCTTCTGGCAATGAGTCGGAAGATATGAGTAGCTATAAAAGAGCTTTTTCCCAAGGAGCTATAACAAAATGCAATCCATACTCGGGCCAGTTCATATCCAGAACATTTCTCACCCCCAAACCAAATGGTAAGAAACGGTTCATTTTGAATCTCAAATATCTCAACAATTTCATTTTAAAATGGAGGACGTCAGATCAGTCATGAGACTGATACAAAATAACTTTTACCTAGGATCCATGGACCTGAAGGATGCATATTTCTTGGTCCCTATTGATGAAGATCATCAAAAATTTCTCAGGTTCTGGTTCGATCGTAATTTGTATCAGTTTAAATGTTTGCCCTTCGGACTATCTTCAGCCTCATATGTATTCACGAAGCTCATGAAACCAGTGGTTCAGAAACTTCGTTCCAGAGATATTATATGTATTAATTACCTTGATGATTTTCTTATTATGGGGGCATCGTATGAGGAATGCTCGTTACATTTGAAAACAACCCTGAATCTTCTCGAGTCTCTGGGGTTCATTATCAACAAGGCAAAAAGTGCTCTTGAACCTAACAAGAAATGTAAATTCTTGGGTTTCTTTTTCGATACCGAAAGAATGAGAATTGAACTCCCAATCGAGAAAAGGCAAAAAGTGAAAGTGGTTGAAATTCTTGAAATTCCGGCAACATTGCAAAATTCAAGAATTTGCCCAATTCATCGGCCTACTCATTTCAGTATGCCCAGCCATAAAATATGGCTGGTTGTATACTAAATGCTTCGAACAAGTAAAGGTCGGCGCTCTGAGGGCCAATAACATGAACTATTCCGCATTTATGGCCCTACCAAAAGCTTTGGCAGGGGATTTCGAGTGGTGGGAAAATAATATCGACAAATCATTCAATGATTTAAAACAGGACTTATTCAAAATCGAGATTTTCACAGACGCATCCTTGTCAGGATGGGGAGTTTTTTCAAAAGGGGAGACGACTTCTCACGGCTGGTGGACAGTACAGGATAAAGTCAAACACATAAACTTCCTCGAACTCAAGGCAATCTACTTACGGCTTCAATGCTTTGCCCGTGATATGAGAGACTGTAATATCCTGATACGTTGTGACAATACGACAGCAATATCATATGTCAACCGCATGGGGAGTATCCAACACCCCAACTTAGCTGTGATGGCGAAACGACTCTGGCAGTGGTGTGAGAAACGAAATTTGTGGGTATTTGCTTCATATATAAGCTCCCAAAATAATTGGCAAGCTGATCAAGAGTCTCGCATCCTCCCACCAGAAACCGAATGGGCCTTAGCACATTACGCTTTCAAAATTATATCCAATGAATTCGGCCCCCCAAAAATTGATCTTTTCGCTTCAAAAGAAAATACGAAATGTCAGGTATATGTATCATGGCTAAGAGATCCGGGGGCAATAGCGGTAGATGCATTTACAATTCCTTGGGGTGAAGTGCAATTTTACGCATTCCCTCCGTTCTCTTTGATCCTTAGAGTTTTGCAAAAAATCATAACTGACGAGGCTACAGGCATATTAGTTGTCCCACGTTGGGAATCTCAAGCCTGGTACCCACTTTTCAGGAAGTTAGTGATAGGTGAACCTATTCTCTTCAAACCATCTGAAAATCTGATATTTTCTCCTTTCAGCCGAACATCGCATCCCCTGGCAAAACAGCTTACCCTGGTGGCAGCCAAGTTATCAGGGAAGCTTTCAAGCTGAAAGGAATTCCACAGGGCGCAGTTGATACCATCCTCAAGTCCATATCTACTGCAACAATAGCTCAATACAATAATACTTACAAGCTTTGGTGGAGGTTCTGTGCCGAGAATGGAATCCTACCACTTAAGGACAAGTTAATCACGTCATTTCCTTCTTACAAAATCTCTTAGATAATGGAACACATACCTACGGATCCTTCAATAGCCACCGTTCAGCGCTAGCGCTAATATTATCAGAAAACTTGGGCGAAGATGCGGGACTGAAAAGATTCCTCAAAGGAATATCGAACCTAAGACCATCGAAACCAAGGTACAATACCACCTGGGACCCCCAGGTGGTTCTTTCTTTGAGAAATCATCCGACAGGTCATTAGATTTCATGTCCAAAATATTAGTGACTTTACTGGCCCTTATAACAGGTCAACGAATTCAGACCATTTCCAAAATCAAACTCGACCAAATAGAAAAATCATCTACAGGCTACAAAATATTCATCACGGACCATATAAAAACTTCAGGAACCAACAAACTCCAACCTTGCCTTAACATTCCATTCTTCAAGGACAAACCAATATTACGCGGCGCAACAACCCTTCAGGACTATTTGGAAAAAACAAAGGATATTAGGACAGAAGACTGCCAATCACTCTTTCTTACTTGCAAGAAACCGCATTCGGCTGCTACAAAACAAACCCTCAGTCGATGGGTGAAATGCATATTGAAATCGGCCGGAGTCGATACAAATATTTTCAAACCTCATTCGACTCGACATGCCTCAACATCGGCAGCACTCAGATACGGGGTGAACATTGACACCATTCAATCGACAGCTGGTTGGACTCCAACTTCTGCAGTGTTTGCGAAGTTCTATAATAGACCACTAATGCAATCACCTCTCAAATTTTCAGAGTCAATTTTAAACATCTAAAACCGATTTTTTAGGCACCAAGAAGCTACAATATCCTTAGATTTAGGTTTTATGGAGGAACAGTAGTTATGTTCAGTTCGGATTTTCCCTTTAAGTTACCAAGGCTAGGCCTTTGTTTTGTAAACTTGTTAATAAAACTTTGGCTCAGTTGACTTAGTCCCTGATTAAAGACTACTGAAGCCATTTAATTATTAATGACGTTCTGCACAACTATCTATACTCTGTTTTAGCATTGGACATGCTTATGTTTTGTATGGGTATGAATTTACCGGTTTGCCGAGTAGAAAAAAAGACAGTGGTGTCGCGTCTACACTGAAAAAAAATTAGTAGTCAAAACAAAAAATTATAATTAGATAAAAGAAAACTGTTTAAATAATCTACATTTTTATATAGTCGAGAAACGTGAATTTGATGATACATATATTTCAAATTAGTTGGTGATGCTATCGCTAATTCATCTTACAACATTGGCTAAAAGAACTATTATTTAGTTGTTTTGTTAATACCTAATGCTTTTTACTAAAAATACAAAAACTTATTGTATATTAAAGCTACATAACTTTAGATACATTGTACACTAAATAGCTCCTTTACTAAATTTAATCAATGTGTCACCATATTTTGCAAAATCAACTACTAAATGGCTGTATTAAAGAAAGCAATTCTTTGCTATTTATATCTCTCCGCTGTGCCGTACAAAATAAAATAGTCATTCCGGTTAAAGTTGACGTTCGCAGTTCGCATACAGTATTCTTGAAGAAGTTACTTGTACCTACCTATCAACATAATTTATTGTTGTTTAATTAAGTTTGTTTATGGATGAAATTAATTGTGAAGTGTTGCTTCGACAGTGGGGGCTGGAGGAGCTCATTGCCGACTTTGAAGGTAAGCATTTAAGCAGTATTCAATGAGTTACTAATTTGTTTCAACTATGATTTAATTTTCTCTGTTTTTGTACTATGTAGGTAATTATTATAGTTTGTATTTATTTTAGCGAAAACGGAAAAAGATTGATATCGAAGTATTAAAAGAATTGACGGTTACTGACATCGACAATCTCATTCCATTAGAGAAATTTGGAGTGAGAATAAAATTTAGGCAACAGTTATTTGCTTGGAAACGAGATAATGTATGGTTTAAAATTACTATTTAAAGCAAATATTTAATTTCAAATTGTAGGGATATGTTACACCGCTTGCAAGTACTGTTTCTGTGAGTGCAGATCCATCATTTAATGCAATTGAAAATTGGTTAAATACAGTTCCTGTTGTTTTAGATGAGGTAACAGGGTCCGAAAATTGTGTTAAATTGGTGAGTATTAATTAATTGCAGTCATTTTAATTTTTGCCAATCTCCATTTTTGGAAAGTACTTACATGAAATATTTTTAGGACCTACTAAGCCTAATGAAAAGTTCAGTTACTGGAAAAGTAACTATCCATAATTATAATACGCATAAAACATTATCTGTGAATGATAGAAATACTGTCTCAACTTTAATCGCTGAGTTTTGGTTAAACAACAATATTAAAGTGTCTCATAAGGAATATGAAACTGCAGCTAACCAAATAAAAATCAATTTTCCTTCTGAAGATGAGGTAACAGTGCTACTGTTTTTACTCGAATTTATATAATTTGTGTTTTAGAAAACATACTTAAATAGTATAAAACAACGGGGAAAATTAGCTGAAAAGTACTATAGTCTTTGCAAAAAATATCGTCAACAAGGACTTAGAAAAAGTAGATACAATTTGAAACGAAAGGCAGTAGACGACATAAGTTCGTCAACCAGTGAATATAATGATGACTTGGAAGGAGGGGACAGTTTTGGAGATTACGAATGGTTACGGTACAATACAGCACCCCCTAATTTAGTATATGAAAAGTGGGGTAGGACCTTCAGGCAACGTAAGAAAGATATTGCTGGAGATGTTAACATTTTTGAGAGATGGCCCATATTAAAGCAAGAAATTGCTGTTTCTTTGGTAAGTTAAATTTTTAATTGAATGTTTAAAAAAATCTTGTTTTTACAGATTGAACTGGACTTTAATAAAATTTATCCTGACAAAAACACATTGCTCTTTGCAAAATGGGATCAATTTGCTATTAAAATTAAACCTATATACTTACGAGATATTAAAGACAAAAGATGCAAATTATTATTAGATTATTTAGAATCTCCGACAGTTAATGAAGGTTTGTATACAACTTTTAATTTATACAAGTAATTAAAAGAATTACTTTTAGATTCTAAACATTACATACTGTGCATAAATTTAAATGCTTTATTTATTCCTCATATAATAAAAAAGGGGAAAGAAAAACCATATAGACCATCTATTTTGGATGCTCAAATTCTTTTGCAGTTCACGTTACGGTAAGGTAATTTTTGAGTTTTATCTTTATTTGACATTTTTGTATTACAGGATAAAACGTATGTACAAACTTACATAGAAAAACGAAAAACGGAATTAGAATCGCAAAACAGGACATTCCAACCCACCATCATTGTGGTAGGTGACTCTATTCATAATTTGGTATCTTTTTATGTATATATTAATGATGTCTTATATGAATGCAGTTCATTTTTAAAAGCTGTTTCAACTACATTTCAGATATATCATGTTTTTAACCTAAAGTATCCGTCTGAATGTATGCAAGTGTGGCAGTTTTTTGAAAATTATTTTTATGAATTGCCCAATTTAACTAAAATTAGTACAGCGCTAAATGCAGTTATATCTGAAATGATTCGTTGATCTGTCCTTCTTTTGTCAAATCATTGTTCTTAAAATGAAATGTTTTTTATGCAATAATACATTTCAAAATGCAAGCGTGTATATGAACCATTTAAAATTAGTACATAAGTGTAAAAACACTTTATCAACATTTTCATGTACAGATTGCCCACAATCCTTTCAGTCTTTATACTCATTTAAACGTCATATTAACCACCATTTAAACGCCCTTAAAAGTTGTGTCCAAGATCATAAAGTAGATAAACCAGATAGACCATTACAACAAGAAATAAGCATTGTACCCACCGAAAATGTAAACAATATTTTAAATGAATCATGTGCAGGTTCTCTCATAGATCATAGCGCAGATATACCTCAGCCAATGTTAAATTGTGCTGATTTGGAAAATGATTATTATGAAATCATGAACCAAATTAATGGTTTTATTATTAATCTTTTTGGCACCATCTCCTTAAATAGAAAAACTGTTATACAAATAGTACAGTTTATTCAAAATTTAATTCTACTTCCTTTAATGGATTATATAAAACAAAAAACAAACCCCGACAGTAAGGACGTTCAGTTAATGATCAATGTCTTGAAAAAAATTACAAATTTATTTGATATGTTTAAATCGGAATATAAATTAAAACAATATCTTTCAAAAAACGACTTGTATTCTGAGCCTATGGAATTTATAATAAACAATAGTTGCACGCCAGACGAAATGTTGAACATTTCGAAAGGTATATTGTTGCCTCTAGAAGATAATATAAGAAGATTTTTAGAATCTCCAAAAGTTTTTCAATCAATGCAAACAAATTTGGAAAAAGTTAATAATCAAAGCGAAATTACTAACATATGCAGTGGTAGCGTTTGGAAAAACAAAATTGATCTAAAATTTGATAACAAATGTGTAATACCTTACTTAGTATATCAAGACGACTTTGAAATCAACAATCCATTGGGATCAAAAAGCGGAGTTCAAAAACTTTCAGCTGTATATATTACTTTTCCGTTATTAAATTCTGAAGATATTTCTAAATTGAATAACATTTTTGTAGCGTGTCTTACACGGTCATCAAGTTTAGAATTTGGCTTGGCTAAAAATTTTGGACCTCTTTGCTCTCTTTTAAAAAATTTAGAGGAAAATGGTATACAAATTACTATTAATTCCAAACCTAAACGCGTATATTTAATTTTATCTGCTCTAGTAGGAGACAATTTAGGCTTAAATACTATAATGGGGTTTACACGGTCTTTTTCTGCAAACTTTTTTTGCAGAATTTGTCGATCTCACAAAGATGAAATGAAAAAACAAACGGTAGAAAACAAACTTGTCTTAAGGACGGCAGAAGACTATTGGCAACATTTATTTCAAAATGATGTATCTCAAACAGGAATCAAGGAAATGTGTGTATTCAATGCTATACCATCGTTTCGTGCCGCAGACAACATATCGGTAGACATAATGCATGACATTTTTGAGGGGATTTGCCACGTAGAACTTTGTCAAATTTTAAATTGCTTTGTATATGATAAAAAATATTTTACATTATCAATTTTAAACAACCGAAAAGCAAACTTTCAATATCATCGTTCTGATTATGGTAATAAATCTGTTTCTATTACAGTGAAAAACCTAAACAGCAATAAGCTAAAAATGTCTGCTAGTGAAATGCAGTGCTTTTTACATCATTTACCATTATTAGTTGGAGAGCTGGTACCAGTGAAAGATCCAGTGTGGGCCTGCCTCCTCTTGCTTATAAAATTAACAAATCTATGTTTTCTTCCATCGTATAACGAAAATACATTGAATAAACTACAAAACACAATAAAAAATCACCACGAGCTTTATTTGGATCTTTTTCAAAAAGAACTTACTCCTAAGCATCATTTTGTGGTGCATTATCCAAATGTTATACGTAAACTAGGACCTTTAAAAGGATTGTGGGTAATGAGACAGGAAGCTAAGCACAAACAAGCAAAATTATATTTAAACAATATTGCGTGCAGAAAAAATGTTTTAATGAGTGCAGCAATCAAGTGGCAATTTAATTTGGCCGGACATTTACATTCTCTGCAAATGAAATATCAAACAGATTTATTAATGGGAGAATATTTTGACCTGAGTGAAAAAGTTTTTAATGTTAACTTTGATAGTATAGAGTTTAATTCCAATTTGTTGAAAAACGTTTTATGTTGTTCTAAAGTACATGTATGTAACACAAAATATCAATTAAATGATGTTGTTGCTATCAATTCTAATGGTTTAATATCCTTATATTCTATAGATTTTATTATTTGGGTTGAAGGAAATTATTATTTTCTTACAAAATCTATTCAAATTAAACGGTATGATAAACATTTACTATCTTTTATTGTTGAAAAGCCAACTTCCAATATTGACACTATATTAATGTGCAATAAAATTATGTACCCACCGACAAATGTGGTAACGTTATATGATAAGTCGATGGCTATTAAATTAAAACATTCTTTTGGATTTCAAGTTTAGTGCATGGAAATGTTTACAACATTGTTTGATAAAAAAATTATATACATGTAGACTTTTGAAAGGTATTAATGCATAGTTCTAAACGTAATTAGTGTGTTTAAATAGTATACTTAAGTTAAATTTAGTACTAAAACTTTTTCTGTTTTTTGTATCTTACTTAAAAAAAATAAACAGTTATATTTTAATAGTGTTTTTATTTATTAAATGTAGTTTAAATATCTAATCAAAATGTTTTACACGCTTCTTTAATTTGAACAAAACATTAGTAAAAATGTCTAGTTTATATTAATACATTAGTCATAACAAGTGTCTGAAACTTCAAATAATAGTTAGATATTTTATAAACAAAAAGGTAAATTAACTAAATCACAAGAGTCGAGTAAGCTAAATAATATGTCTAGTATTTAAAAAAAATTAGACAATTTTCTTAAATTTAGTAGTTAAATGAAACAATTATGTAGTACCATATATCTATTCAAATTTATAATGACAATTATTCTAATTAATTGTTTTTACTATTCGAGTAGATAAAACAATCACATTTCTTAGTAGAAAAAATACAACTATCTAATTAGATTAAATGCCTAACTGCATTTTTTGGCTAATTTTTATTGAAAGATTTTAGACAATGAATCTAATCTTTTTTTAGTTGATCTACGTATTTTTTTTCCGTGTAGTGTTGATTGTACCGTACTCGACTGCAATCGGTAGATTCAGGAAAAGTCGCGGATACTGTCGATACGGTACTTACTTAACAGTGCGCAGGGGTTTTGTTAATTCGAATTTAAAATTCTCGCACATCGCCCGTGATAGTACTACAAGCATCTACTTACGCCGCTTATTATTCAGAAAGTTTACGTTTGCTAGCAAGATTATTCTGTGTGAAGGGTTATTTATGACTTTATCGGTTATACGGTTATCATTTCCAATGTCATTGGTTGACATGATTTCATTATTTATGCTTTTCGGTTATTATTTGGTAGGAACTCCTTTATATTATGCATACATCATACTTCTTGTTAAGTTATTGAACAAATTCAGAACAATGGAATTATACTCATATTATTATACATCACAGTTCACTGCTATATGTATAAGCGATTTAGTCACTTGTCTTCCGAAAGTTCACTAAAACTGTCACTGTGTATCCATTAGGCCATCCAATCTACATATCTTATTTTCTTCCTTAATGCACCTTCCTTGCACACAATTCCGCCAATCGTTAGAGCTCACATATGCAACAGCGTTATGACCACCGGAACGTTTCGTAGGGGTAACAATCCCACTACTTCGATATTC